AACTCATGCGTAAGTGGTTTTAGCTTCTTGGTGCTGTGCTTTAACCCACTGCGCCATCAGGGAGGGCCATTATGTTTATTTTAAAAAAAAAAACATTTATTTATTTATGCATACAGAACTGGGGCATAGGCCAGAGGTTCCGGGGCAGGCGGGAATCGAACTCATGCGGAAGTGGCTTAAACTTCTTAGTGCTGTGCTTTAACCTGCTGCACCACCAGGGAGGGCCATCATTCTTTTTTTTATAAGGCTATCCATTCAATTGTCTCAGCACTATTTGTAGAAAAACCTCTTTCCCCAATGCATAGTCCTGGTACTGTTACTGACAATCACTTGGTCATAAATACTTGAGTTTATTCCTGAGCTCTATTCTGTTCCATTGATCAGTATGTCTGTCTTTAGGCTAGTACATTGTTCTGACTACTGTAGTTTTGTAGTTAGGATTTCAAAGCAAGGGATGAATCCTTTTCAATTTCTTTCAAAATGCATCTAGTTTTGTAAAAACTGGTCTTCTCATTGACAAAGATTAAGAGCCAACTAGATATATTTTCTCAATGAAAATTCTTGGAATGAGAGCTACTATAAGATTATCTTCTAGCTTTCACTCTTTCAGCAAATCTGTCTGTAAACAGCATAGGTTAATACAGTAAAGTAGAAAATGATCTATAATTACTACCAAAGTATTAGGTGCCTTGTTTCTTTCATGCAAACATACACCAGTCTCAGCAACTCAAGAGGGGTAACAAACTCTAACGTTAAGGAATCTAAGGTTACTTGCCAACTATTAAAATAATAATGCAACAAGTACAGTTAATATTATGGTGGACTTATTATTAGTCAGAAAGTACTGTGTTAATTGCTTTAGATGTACAAATCTCCCTCCCACACCCAACAATTTAATAAGAATGGGAATAATATCATCCCCATATTATGTTTCTCAGATGAGCACCTTCACATAACACTGGGAAAGTCAGCCTATTAGAAGTGGATTGTCTAGTGCCTTATAACTGGGAAGTGTGAAATGTGAGATTAGTAATAGTTGCTCCATGAATAGCTAAAGGTTGACTATAGACCGATGGAAATGAAAGGTGCTTCTTTTTGCTCCTGGAAAATTAGCATGTTAGCAACTCAGCCTCTGCTTCAAAAGCGATTAGCACATCATACAATACACGGTTGTACCTTCTAAAGAAAAATAACAAATGGTGCAACGCTGTGGAATCAACACTATCATCAGATGCTCTTTTTGCAGTATTTTATCCTTTAAATGTTCTGTTCAATATTTACCAGTGTAGCCTCACTTGAAGGGATCTTAAAATTCATAAAATATATTTGTGAAAGCTAATTTTCTATGAACATAAGATACAGAGCTCATATAGCATATGAGATAGAATTCACCCCAGACCATATATAAAAAGATCTAACGACTCAGATCAAGGGATTTTTCTAAAACAACTTTTGTAACTAATGTTTATTTCCATTAAAGAAATGTAAATGTAAAATTAATGTAAGATAAAATCTCAAAAGTATTTGGCAAAAGCAATGCCATTAAGAGTTTGATTTAAATGTTTGTGGTAACTGTTTTATTCATTATAAACAAAAATTGACATAATGAAAAAATCACATTCTGAGAATAATTTAGTTCCATTTTATAAAAATTAAATCAGTGGTGCAGTCCCCCCAGGGGAGAAATAATTTGCCTTGCTGTCATCAGTTAAGAATGAAGAAAGCATATTTTCTTTTTTTAAGTTGTGACCATCACCACACTAAATACATGTACATACCTAAATCCTTTTAATAGGAGAATAATAATAATAACCTATAACAAAACTCTGGTATTTGACAGGCAGATAATATGCTGCAAACATTTTCTTTTAAAATAAATAATCTTAAAATCCATGTCAAAATATCAAACAACTTGAAAAATGCATAAAATGGAACAAAATTCCCAAGCAGAAGTTCAAAATTCTTGGCAAAGTTATATAACATCAAATAACATCAGTTTCACTTATCAACTAGCCATTCATTAAAAATGATTTTTGGGGCCTCCCTGGTGGCTCAAGGGGTTAAAGCATAGCACTATGAAGCTATCTCAGCCACTGCACTATGAGCTTGATTCTCAGCCAGGGTGGTGACCTACATGGCGTGGCAGAACACTCCTGTCCTGCCTGCTGCTCCCCTCAGCAGTGTATTTCAATCTGCCTGTTCTGTTCCCCATTCTGTCTCTATTGAATCCTCTCATCTCCCAAACCTCTGACCTGTATCCCAGTTCTTGTACACATAAAAACAAAAGGAACTATTTGTTAGATTCAGTGTAGATTGAAAGTAATTTTTGAGCATTTCAACAGAAACTGCCCTCCTGTTACACATTAGCAAAGCCTGTCCTCTAAATAACAAAGAATTTCAACTCGAGGGCAAATGAAGACTAAAAATACAAACAGTGCATCTTAAAGTTTTTCAGAGACCTACACTCTGTGTAATTTTTCATATGCTTCTGGCTTAAACATATTTTCCCTGAGCTCTTCCTGTTTGGTTAGCAATAAACATTTTAAAGGGCTATGATTGGGATTTACAGCCCTGAGAATAACACAGTAGGGGTGGTAGGAGTGTCATACAACTGAAGTGATTTTACTATCCCAAAACTTCCAACAGTTATTTCAGGAAATTCAGAATAATAGTGGCTTGTAGAAGAAAGAGGCAATAATTAGAAATCTCACTTTAGATGACCAACAGGTATGCATTAAAAACCAAAAGGAGAAAAAAGATTGGATTAACATTGTGCTTTCCATGGAATTACGCTGGAAAAAATGAACTCTTCTGCCCAACACAGGTAATGTCTCATCTTGAAACTTTATTTAACGCAATCTTGAGGTCTGTGACTCCTTAGCATTCATGCAAACCTAAAAGTAACATCACTGGGAATTTTATCACAAAAAATTGTAGTCCTCAATGGTATCCCAAGATTTCTAGCCCAAAAGACACACCACAGTCAGTGCACATGCATGACAGCACTACCAGCTCTGCTCTCCACGGCTTAAAAAACATCTTAGCTACTTAAGAATTTAGGTCTCTTCTTTCTCAAATAAATAAAACAAGGATGACAAATATTAGGAACCTTAACTATGCAAATTTGTAAATAATAGTTTTCTACAGTCCAGATCACACTACAGAAAATTAAGAGTGAAGATGCTTCATATTTACAATTAGATTTTATAAGAACCATATATTTTCCTTAGCATTTATATGGTTTGCATGAATGATTAATAAATAACTTAATACATTTAAAAGTCATCATTCTGAAGAGTTTCAAGAAGTGAGCACTTTCAGACATCTACAGGTGTGTCTTCTGTCTTTTCATTCATATTTTACGGTGCTTTATGCAGGACGCCCTTGACCAAAACGATTTTTAGACCTAGATTTTTTAAACAGAAAAGAAAGTCAGTTACAGTGGTTTTAATTATGTTTGCTTGACAGTATGAAGGTTTAATAAAACTTCATATAGTTCCATAATCCACTTTTTAAACCTCTTTGAATTATTAGTGAATTATTAGTATTTTGGAATTCAGTGCTTTTTGGTTTGGGCGAGATAAGTATATACATTTGGAACAATGTCACATAATTGAACCACGTGAGTATTTCTTCAAAGAAATGAACATTTACATCAAATGGGTAAATAAGAATTATAAATAGCACTATTGTAGCACAGTTAGGTTTTATTTACCACTTATGTATGAAAAAATCATCTGGCTTTCTGAGATTCCTGGATTTCAGAATTGCAGATTAGGTATTTAGATCTGGAGTACTAATGATCAAATCTCTTAATGTTAACCTTTATAAGAAAATTGTGCAGTAAAATGACATAGGACCCAGAGATTAGATTTTATTAAGAGAATAAATTAAAACAAAGAAAGAGAATGACCTCAATGATTTATATAAATAATATATAAACTATAAACTAAAATTCTGCTAATTCATAGCACTACTGCTTACATTTTTATCAGCAGGGGACTCAACAGAGCTGCTTCAAACAGAAAACATAATAAACTATACATTTTATTTTTAAAGATGTTATTTATTTATTTATGTATGTAGGCCAGAGCTGCATGAGGGCTGATGTGGAGGAGGTGAGTGAGAGGATTCAACAAAATGCAGGGCAGGTGGATTTAATACACTGCTAAGGAGAGCAGTGGGCAAGAGAAGAGAGATCTGCATCACCATATGTGGCTTAGCTCCCTGGCCGGGTATCAAACTCAGGCCACAGAGGTGATAGCTTGAGACTTAACCCCCAGGCCCTATTACTTTCATTAAACTTTGTTTTCATGGGCCTCCCTGGTGGTGCAGGGATTAAAATCTCAGAGCGGTCAAGCACTATCAAGCTATCACTAGCCAATGAAGCACAAGTGTGATCCCTGGCCAGGGTGGTGAACCACATGGTGCAGCAGACCTCTCCTTCTTGCCCACTGCTCCCCGCAGCAGAGCATTTAAATACAACTGTTCTATTCCCCACTGTCTCTAGTGAATCCTCTCACACACCCCTACACACACCTCTGGCCTACACCCCAGTTCTTATATGCATAAATAAATAGATCTTTAAAAAAACAAAGAGGCTTCCCATACAAAAAAAAAGTCACCCATAGCCAGTCGCATTCTTAGTTTGCTTATGCTGATTTACCTTGTGTTTTTCTCTGAGTTGGTTTGCCGGGCACTGACTGGCACTGAGGCCTTGATTTGTGCTTCTAGCCTGGAGTAAATACCTCCCGCAAACTGCAGAGAGAAGGAGCAAAATTAAATTATCTTTAGGAAATAAACAAAAGCTCTCCTTTATTAAAACAGCACACATTTTAACTCAGAAGTAATTTATTAGTAAGTTCTAAAAGTCGGGCATGGGTACTTTGAGTTATAATTTATATGTATAATTTTACATAATTAGTGTAATGTTCATTCTTTTCTAGTGTACAATTCAAATTTTGACAAATGTAATTGTTTGTGTAACCATTATAACAATGGAGACACAGAGGTCCCTCCGTGGTAGCAAATGGGTTAAAGCGCAGCACCGCAAAACTAGCCACAGCAGCTTCAGCGCTAGTTTGATCCCTTGCAGGGGAGGTGACCCACATGGTGCAGCAGACCTCTGTTGTCTCACCTGCTGCTCCCCTCAGCAGTGTATTTCAGTTAATCCTCCTGTTCTGCTCCCCACTCTGCCTCTGATGTATCCTCTCACCTCCCTTGTACCTCTGGCCTATACCCCAGTTCTGTATGCATAAATAAATGAATCTTAGAGAAAAAAAAAAAGTAGAGACACAGAGCAGTTCTATCACACAAAGAAAATTCCCTGTACCTCATCCCCTTCTGCCTCTTTTTAAGTCAACCCATTTGCCAGTATCAATTGCTGGCTACTACTGATTTATTTTATGCCCGTAAGTTTTTCATTTTCCAGAACACTATATAAAAAGAATTACATAGATCCTTTGGAATTTGGCTTTCACTTAGCATAACGTATAGTAGCTTCATCTACATTGTTGCACATATAAGTACCCTGTTCCTTCATCTACATTGCTGCACATATAAGTACCATACTTTTACTCCTTTTACTCCTTTGTCAGGTAAAGACTATTTGGGTTGTTTTTTGTGATGAAAAAAAAATTTTTTTTTTTTTTACGAGGGCAGAGAGGGACATCCCCCACCAAGGCCCTGTCTCAAACTGGAGCTTGGCCATGGGAGCTGCACACAGCCCCCTGCAGCACCAGGCCAGTCCCATGCCCTTGTGGCGTGCCAGGCCGGGTACTACTGTAAACATGTATGAACTGATCTGTAGGATAAGAGAATGCTTAACTTTTCTTTAAAAGACTTACTTATTTATGCATACAAGAACTGGGGTACAGGTCGGAGGTACGGGAGGAGTGAGAAGATTCACCAGAGACAGAGTGAAGAACGGAACAGGCAGATTGACCAAAATACACTGCAGAGGAGAGCAGTGGACAGGATGCCATGTAACTCACTTCCCTGATGGGGGATCCAACTTGTCCTGCAGAAAGCTTCAAGGTGCTACACTTTAACCCCTTGTGCAACCAGGGAGGGCCCATTTTTAACTTTTTAAGATAGTGCCAAAGTGCTTTCCAAAGTGGCCGTTCCTTTTTGCATCCCTACTAGTTATGAGAGTTATAGTTGCTCCCCATTCTTGCAGTAATTTTTCAAAATCTTCGTTAGTACTGTGGTATCCCACCCAGGCTTTAATTTACATTTCCCTAAAACTAATGATGCTGCATCTTTCATATGCTTACTGTTTGACATCTATTGATACATCCCTCCTTTCAATGAAGTGCCTGTTTAATCTTTTGTTCATTTATGTCTATTGGATTGCTTATATTATTACTGAATTTTATGAGTTCTTTATATGTTCTAGATACAATTCTTTACCAGTTAGGTATTTTACCCATATTTTCTCATAATTTATGTTTCATCTTTTCATTGTCTTGACAGTGTCTTTCAAAAGAACTTAAAAATTTTGATAAAGTCCAATTAGATGTTATGGATCATGCTTTTAATGACGCAGTTAAGAAATATATGCCTGACCCAACATCAAAAAAATTTTTTACTATGCTTGTAAGCACTGCACGAAAAGTTTATTAAAATCAGTGATTTTTTGAAAGCCATTTTCTAGGTAGTAATATGAGACTTCCAGTGACAATGTACTTTATTCTGTGTGTTACAGAAAACCTACTGATTGTGGATAATGAAACGGTGGGAAACTTTTATATGAATGAGCTAAAAGGCATAGAACATCAAACTATTTAAATTACATTGTTAAAATTCTGCTTAAGGCCCTCTCTGGTGGCACAATGGGTTAGGGTGCAGCACTGCAAGCAAGCTGCAGCTTGCAGCTGTTTCAATGTGAGTTTGATCCCCAGCCCCGGAGGTGATCCACAGGTGTGGCAGGACTCTCCTGACCTTCCCGCTGCTCCCCTCAGCAGTGTACTTCATCTATCTGCCTGTTCTGCTCCCCACTCTGTCTCTGGTTCTTTCTTTCTTTTTTTTTTTTTTTAAAGATTTATTTATT